CTATCTCTCTCTCAATACATTTTTCCTACTCTTAACCTCCGTTGTTCCTTAGAATTCATTCTTCGATTTTGGGGACCCTGAACTCGGCGTATCTGACATCTAGCAGGTTGGGAGTTTTGTTTTTTCTCCTATAGTAACATGACTATGCTTTTAAAGGGTAGCAACAGAGAGACACAAGAGGAAGGAGGGAGATGACAGGAGACTACTGTGACCACCAGGAAGAGCAGGCCTGGCATCTGGGTCCCCCACTTCCAGAGCAGGAGGCATCTGTCCATGCCCACAGTAGTTCAGGAGAGCATCCGTCCTCTCTACCTCTTCCCCCTCCACTCCTGTCCCCCAGCATAACCCAAGGGGTCCAACAGGAACAGGAGGTGGCCAGAAAAGAACAGCCAGGCTTGAGGACTAGGGTTGGGGGAAGATGGAGCAGGCCCAGAGAAGACAGAGGGACAGAAAGTGCCTTCCCCATCCAGCCCCTGGGCCCTCCTGAGCCCCAGCCAACATCTGAGCCCAGAGCCCAGTGTTCCAAGCTCAGTCTCCCCAGACCAAGAGGAAACTCAACACCAGGAAAGGCCAGGGACCTTCCTTTCCCTGGTCTCCAGGGAGCCCCTGGGCTGGGGCAGCTTCTCTAAGACTCTACGGGTCATGAGGGCAGCGCCTGCATGGGACCCACCTACCAGCCAGGGTATGCCAGGCCCTACCCGCCTGGGTCAGAGCCCACAGAGACAGGACCTTGGGCAGGGAGGAAGGAGGGCCTGGTGGCTGTGAGCCCACACTAGCACCGCACTTCTTGGCTTCAAATCCCAGCCAAGCGTTTTGCTGGCTGTGTGACAGCCTCTCTGGCCTCAGTCGCCTGGTCTATAAAATGGGAAGTGAAAACACGGCTGGTCATGTCAGGCTGCAAAAGGGGTGAAGGGCACCACAGAGCACATAGGAGAGTACCTGGCCCTTGTAGCCTGGATGCAGCTAGGAAACAGGACCACAAAGACTCCCAGGTCCATAGCCTAAGTGCCAACTACACCTCAGGCACTAGGTTTGGCATTTTCCAAATGACTCCCTGCTTGGTAAGACTGGCCAAGTTGCGGAGCCCTGGCCATGGGAACGCCCCCCCCAACACAATGCATCCCCCAAACGCATGAGGAAGAAAGGAGCACTGTGAGGCCCATTTTACAGAGAAGGAAACTGAGGCAGAGTGACCATGGAGGAGCTGGGTTTCCAGCCAGGCAAGTCAGGCTGCAGGGCCCAAGCTCTTGATACCTGCAGACCCCAGGCCACCCCAAGGGGACACTGACTCCCACTTTGCTGATGAAGAAACCTGACAGAGTTCTGGGATTTTCTACACCCAGGCCTGAGGGCTTCCCCTGAGACATCTTGGGGTGAGGCTTCCTCGCCTGCCCTTTCTCCAGTCAGCTCGCTGCCCAGCGAGCCTGGTGTTATTCCTGGCAGCTGGCTTCTCCCCAGAAAAGTCCCAAGATGGTACAGACAAAGGCAAGAAGCAGGAGACCAGGCACGGGTCTGGACCCCAGGCCACTGAGGCCCAGCTGCATTCCAGGGTGACTCAGCCTGAGGCCAGCCGAGGGGAGAGAGGCTCTATTTCAGAGCCTGTGGTCTCCAGCCTTGCCCACTAACACTCTTGCTTCTGGGGACTGCCAAGTCCAGAGTGGGAGCAGAGTGAGGTCTGATCCCATCGCCGCTCTGGCCCACACAGCGACTGTCACCTGCTCATGGCAGTTCTGATGTCGGATGCCCCTTCCGATTCCCCCCGCTGAGTTCTGATTCCCAGCAGGAGTCCAGAAACTGTCCTTGCTCACTCCAAGACCCCCTTGGCCTCCTGCCTGGGTTTCTCCCCAACCAGAACCTTGCAGGCCAGGCCAGGGCTGTCACCACCTCTGGGCCCTGACGGATGGCATCCTCCCTGCAGGGACACTCCGGGGGAGCAGAGACCTGCTGTGCACTCCGGTACTTAGAGCCATGCCTGGCACAGAGTAGGTGCCTGGCACACAGGGACTCGGGCTCTGGGAGGATGTAATGGGAGCCACAGGGCTGCTTTCTGCTCCACTGGGCAGGAGCCACCTAAGTTCCCGTATACTTAGCCTGCTCTTCCCCAGGGCCGACCCACAGGCCTCTAGGGGCTTCTATCGGCCATAAACAGGGGTCTCTTTTAGCTTTTCCACACCTCCCCTCACTGCCTCTGCCTGTGTAGAAAAAGCAGGTGGGCTTCTCACTTTGGTTTTTGATTTTTCTGCTTTTGAGACAGCACAGATTCAGATCATAATAAACAGAAGAAAAGAACAGCGGGGGAAGCACAGTGATAAGCAGAACAGCTGCAAGTTGGAGAGCCACCGGGGAGCGGCAGGAACTGTGGCAAGGTTTGGAGAAGGCTCTGCTGCCGAGTCCCAGGAAAGTGCGGCTAGATCTTCCAGCTCTGCACAAGGAGCTGGAGACTGGAATTCCTGCGTATAGAACCTCCCACTTTTCTCGCCTCGTACTATGTGGTACAAACCCCTGGTATGACTAAGCTGAGGCCCACTGTTTACCGACCTCTGCTACTGCAAGCTAGAATGAAGCAGATTTATTTATAACCTAGGAATTCTGCACCCTATAGGGCAGCAAACCAGCCCTCAAGCCACAGGAACCCTTTCCTGGATGCCATGTGGCCTCTGGTACCCCAGCCGATGGGTCTCCCACCCAAGAGACCTCTGTCCATGCTTCCTGCAGCAGCCACACCAGCCCAAAGAGGAAGAGTTGTACTCAGCTTGGTAAAGTGGCTAGAGACTGAGAGAACACCTCTGTGAGCAACCTCAGAGTGCAGATGGGGAAACAGGCCCAGAAAACAAAAAATGTTTATAGTACCCACATGGCAAACATTAACTTCAGTGGGCCCAGAAAGCAGAATCTGAACTTCCATATCTCCAGAATGCCAGGCATCCAGTTCCCAGTGATAAAGGGGGAAGAGATGCAACTCCTAAACCTGCTAGATATCCAAAGTGCGAGTTCCTGTTCTCCAAAATCAAAGAATGAATTCTAGGAACAACGGAGGTTAAGAGTAGGAAAACCTTATTGAGAGAAAGATAGCTTCTGTCTAAGAGAGACAGAAGAGGGACCAGAAAATGGGTTGCCCACTCACCCAACTTCTCAAAGGCGTTTTACGGGGCAAAGCCATGAGGTGAGGCTCAACCAGTAAGATTACAAGTACAGTCGCTTAGGTAATACTGATCCAATGAGAAATCACAAGGTGGACAAAACTATGAATAATCAATAAGATTATGACAACTATAGTTGCTTAGGTAATATTGATTAAATGGGGATCCAATGGGGAAATGAGTCACGTAGCAAGGGGTGGGTCAGGGATCTTTCCTGGAAGATCTTGGTCCCCCACCCAGGTGATTGATACCTATTTAGAATATCAATCACTGCTATTCATCTACATGGGCGTAGTAGTTTCTCTCCTACTACTCTGGCCTTCAGAGAATGTATCTTGATTGTCCTCCCTGTTGGAGCCTCCTGGGCTGGCCCTAGCTGCCTACAAGATAGCTACTTAACTTAGCTATCTGCAATACCAGAGCCCATGAACTATTTGGCTGCCTCTACCTACCCCAGAAAACGTGCAGCCCACAGTGCCCCACAGGAGAGACCACAGCACAGCATGTGAAACATCAAAAGCACTGGAAACAACCAAAAAGCCCATCAACAGGGACATGAATATACAGAGGAAAAAAACCCCTGAAACTTCATTCCATCAAATGATGAAATACATAAGACCCAAAGAACAGACTACATCTCTATGCAGCAAGATGAATGAATGTCAGGGCCGGGGATTTAGCTCAGTGGTTCCAGTGCCTGCCTTGCAAGTGCAAGGTCCCAAGTTCGATCCCTGGTACCAAAAAAAAAACCAACAAAAAAACCATGAATGAATGTCAAATCTGAAATTTGGAGTGAAAAAGAAACAAACGTTATGTCCTAAAAACATTTCCACACAGAGCGTGAGAAAACCTGAAGAGTTTAGAAAAATAACTCATTGCTCCACAGGGAAACTTATTCTTTTTCCTTCCTTTTGTTCAGGTGAATATTTGAATGCATAATTTTAAATTTCAGCTGGAAAAGTGTCTGGAGAGGGAAGAAAATTAGAGAGCTTATTGTTTGAAAAATCAACCAAGGCATTGTTTAAACATTAAGGTTTTCTGGCCGGGGATTTAGCTCAGTGGTGCCACCACCTGCCTCCCAACTGCAAGGTCGGGAGTTCGATCCCAGGTAACAACAACAACAACAAAAAAGTAAAGTTCTCAATGTTTCTGGAATTTCAGACTCCAATGTAAACATACACACAAACACTACACTGACAAGTTCACACCTATGCACATAAGAGTAATTATTAAAACATCTGGGAAAGTGGAGAAGAGATGACAACTAAAGGCAAAGTGCTGGCCTGGGCTGGATGGGGACATTAATGAGAAGTTGATTAAATACCAGTAACGTCCAAAGTTTAGTCAATAGTAATGATCAGCGACTCTATAGCAAGAAAAAAAGCTACTGCAAGCACCCTTTTGAGTCACCGATTCTCCAGGCCGAAGGAAAGCCTTCGGGGCCAGGAGGCCAGGGTTCTGCCCTGTCCCTGTGAAACCTCAGGGGTGGGGACTCCTTTCGGGCCTCAGTTTCCCCCCTGGCAGATGTCAATAACACCGAGCCTGTGGGCCCCACGCAGGGACTCCAGGACCGGGATCCCGCAAGAGGTGGCTCCGGGCTGCCCTGCGCCCCCAGGGCCTCTACTTAGGGGAAGGGGGAGCAGGTGGGGGCGGCCCGGCCGAGGCTGCGGCTTCTTCCACCGGGGGCCACGCGAGGCTGCCTGCACCCACCCGGTAGATCCGAGCACCTTCCTCGGGAGACCCCGGTGCTCAGCCCGGGCGGGAAGGGCGCCCCGCCGGGACCCGCCGCCCGCACACCTGGAACCCGCTCGGAGCGCAGCGGCTCCTAGGCGAGTGGGGACCGGGCGGGCGGACACTCACCGCGCGCGCCGGCGGCTCAGCAGCAGCAGCAGCAGTAGCAGCAGCGCGGCCAGGAGGCCGAGGAGCGCAGCCCCGGACATGGCCGGCGGCGGAGGGCGCGGGCTCGGCTGGTCCCACTCACTGCTGGCGCCGAGGCACCGACCCTGGCTCCCGCCCGGGCCTCGAGACCCCTCCCCGGGCCCCAGCAGGACAGGCCCCGCCCCCGGGAGGGAGGGTGTGGGCCGGGGCGGAGGACCTAGGGTGGACAAGAGGATGGAGGAGACGGAGGAGGAGGAGGAGATGGAGGCGGGGGCTGCGGGGCGCCGGGGAGGGAGGAGGGGAGGGAGGAAACGGGGAGGGGAGGGGAGAGAAAGTGGAGATGTGGGACTGCATAACCTTCGTTCCTTTTCTCCAGCCCCATTGTGATTAAATGTGAGTTAATGGATAAAGATGCTTGTTAGTTTTGGGACACTAGATAAAAATCTGTAACAGACCTAGAGTCCCAAAGTAAACTACTCAACTCCTTGTTTGCCCAGAACTGATGTTCCGGGCACCACAATTTTTAAAACAAGCTGCAAATGTCTGCTGACCATCAATACGTGACAGTCGGCCACTAACCTTTGTCCCTTTTCTTTAATTCTATATGTTAACTTCCCCCTCAACCTCTATAAGAACAGCCTCGGATTCTGAGCCAGTGGCCTCTTCTAAGCTATTTTGCTTTGGGAGTGCCGTCTGGCCAGACTAATAAAGGTCTGTTTTATTTTCCAACTTGTCTGGTGTGTTCCTTCCCGGGTGTTCTTCGCTACAGTCAGCTCCTCGGAGCGTTTGGTAAGGCCCTCGGTCTTACAGAGAGACCGCGGGGTGCTGGGAGGGGACGAGGAGAAAGAGAGGGGCTTCCCCCGCTGTCCGCTGGACCGGACTCGGACACCCCGGCCCCGCCCGGGCTGTTGGAGACTTTGGGTCCCCTGGGCGGGCCAGGCTCGGTGCGGCCCCTGGCTTTTCCACAGCGCAGTCGGTCACAGTTCAGGGACCAGGACAGCACTCAGGGCAGCCTGGGGCCCACGGTGTGAAGCAGGCCTCCCACGAGCTCCTCAGGCCATGGTGGCCCGGCTGTGCTTAGAGTGCCAGGCCCTGTGCCCGCAGCTCTGTGAGGACCTCCCTGCGGGATGGAGACAGCCCTGGTTGCCACCCTGCCCTTCCCCGTTCACACCTGGGAAGCCTTGGGGAGGTGGCTTGACCAACCCTCTGAGTCCAGCTCCTTACTGGAAACGGGAGGCTCAGAGCTGTGCTTGCTTCAGGGAGCTGTCCTCAGGCACTGGTGAGCTTGTCCACAGAAGGGAACAGCAAACTGTGGCGGCCTTGGCACAGGTAAGTTTTATGAAACAAAGGGCCTGAACAGGACCTGGGACCCAGGAAGTCTGGCACTCAGTGGTCCTGCACCTCGCCCTCCCTGACCGGCAGACTTCCTGTCATCTTCCTGTGGTGGCCTGTGGTGCCCTGGTCTCTGGGTGTCTGTCCTCATCTCCCTAGAGTCCAGTCTCCCCTCGGAAGTCAGAAGGCTCCACCCGGAACCTTGTCAGAACCCATCCCGGAACTTGCTCCGAGCCTGCCATGGCTCCTCACTCAAAGCATAGCTGGACCAGCATGACCTGCCAACCACTTCCCCTCCCTGACTTGGCTCCCGCTGCACCCACTCTGCCCCAGCCCCCCGACCCCGGCCCCTCCCCAGAGGTGCCCCTCTGCCCAGATGGTCCTCCCTAGGGGATATCCACCCAGCTTCCTCCTGTTTGTTGGGGGCAGGTGACAGAGTGTTGGCACTTCACACCTCCTGCCATCATATTAGAGATTCAGTTTGTAAACTGCTCACTTAGTCTCCGGTCTCAGTGATACAGGAAAAATATATCTCCCAACCTGTCAGATGTCAAATGTTCTGAGTTCCTGGTCTCACAACATCAAGGAACGAAGTCACAAACCAAAGGAGGGAGTGAGGTGAGTTTTATTGGAAATAGGAAGGAGAATAGCTCCTGGATTTCCAGGAGGGCCCCACGTGTGTGGCCACTGAGGTGCTTTGTCAGGAATGATTTTCACAGCAAAGTCACAGCGTGAGTGGAATGTGGATCAAACTACAATCAACCTGAAGGGTCACAAATATAGCCCCTTAGCTAACATTGATTAATAGGGAGAGGAGTCACATAGCACATGTTTATCCTTTAAGGAGGCATGCGGGTCTGCCATTTGGTCTCCATCTTGTGCCTGCAGCCGCGATCTTAATGTCTTCATTTTGTGCTGACTTCCTTGAGGTCCCAGTTCCTGTCTGACTGTATATTAATTTCTCTCTAACTTAGCTTTAGTACTTTACACTGCCTGCTATCATTTTAGAGATTGAATTTATAAATTGCCTACTTAATCTCAGTGGTCAAGGCAGTGGGATGAACCTCATGTGGGCTCTTCACGCGGCCTCAGGGATTTGGAACAACAAGTGAGGAAACGAGACTCCTGAACCTCTTTTTTATTTACCCAGCAACTGTCTGCCCATGAGGCCAGCAATCCCCAGCAGCCTTCGTGATGGGCATGGATGGTTCTCTCCAACTTTGAGGAGCTCAGGCTGTCTTCTGGCAGTGGGGTTCACAGCCAAGACCCAGCTGTTGGCCTGGGGCAGTCCACCTCAGCCGTGCAGGTGGCAGTCCCACCTCAGTGGAGAAGGGAAGACAACCTCGGAGTCTCAGAGCAGGAGCAATGGCCTAACCCAGGTGACACCACATCTCAGTGCCTGACAGCATTCAGGGAAATTAGGCACTGTTGGTGCATACTCCAGTTCAACCTCTCCCAATATCTGTGATCAGGACTCCATTTTAGTTTTCTCATCTGTAAAATGGGAAGAACAGGTCCTTCCTCACAGGGCTCAGTTAAATGAGAGAATGGATCATTCAGCACAGGGCCTGGCATGACACAGCTGCTCAATAGGTGTCAGCTCTTCCACCCACAACCGCTGGCTTCAGACTATAGCAGCATGGCCTCAGCCTGAATCCCTGCTGATACCCTGTTCCCACCTCTCCCCATGGAAAAACCCTTCTTGAGAGGGTGCTCCTGGCTCCTCCCTCTCCAGCAGCACCTGATTTATTCAGAAATCTGTGCAGAGCAGGTGTCTGGGGATGTGGCCCTGCCCCTTGGCCAGGAATGAATCCGCACTGGTCTGAGCACCCGCAGGGAACTGCTGGAAATTGTTTCCCTCCCTCTTTGCCTCATCTTCTTCATTGGGGGCCATCATATGGGGGGTTAGCAGGTCATGTCCTAAGGCAGGGAAACTGCAGAACCCCAGACAGAGCCACTAAAGCACCAGCCCTGGAAACCCAACCTCTAGACTTCTTGTTCAATGAGTTAAGACATCGTGAGTCAGTTTTTCTCCTACTTCAAGCCAAAACCACTCCTGAGATGGCCTTCTTCTGCCTATGGCTATGGGGAGACTCAGTGAGATAATGTCTCCCAGCCATAGCGCGGTCCTCGCCCGACAATATGGCCTCATCTTGTTGCTGGAACTTTGTACAGGCTCTGTAAGCATCGGGCTGAGGGACTCCTGACCCCCTGCTCTGGCATCTCACAAGAACATCTAGGCTGAAAGGTTGCCGAAATCCCCAACTCCCTGGGCTAGGACCGAGGGGCCCTGCTGAGGGCAGAGCTGGGGAGGCCTCCAGGGAGAGGAGCGAAGGTGCCTCGAGGATGACCCACCTGAGAGCCAAGTTTGCATCCTGGGGAACCCCTCACTTCACCCGTGACCCTGGGCAAGTCCTCTGCCCTCTCTGAGCCTCGAGGCCTGATGTGCGGCAGGGCTTGTCGCTGGCAGTAGAGAGGGCAGGAAGTCACCCACGAGGCTCTGACCCGGGAATCTGACCTGGGACGTGAGGCCCACAGGTCAGGTACAGGAGACGTCAGGAAAATTCCCCCACCCCCAGTGACAAGCCCTGGATGAGCCACTGGAGGAGTCTCGCGTGTCCAGATGTTCACTGTCTGGCAGAAAATGGACAGCTGGCCAGGGTCCCATGCCGCCAGCCTCTGCTCTCTTATCTGGCTTCTGTGGGGTCACAAGATGATGTCAGGACCCCCTGTCCCCCCCTGCACGGGGTTCTGCCTGGGAAAGGGCAGCTCTTCCCACCCCACATCCTGCTTCCTGCCTCCCGGGGATCAGGTCTGGTTCGGGTCTTTGTCTGCATTCTAAAGACTACAAACAAATTGCATTAGGAGAGGAAAATAATGTGTGGGTGTTGCCTTCTTCCAAGCTGAAAACCACCCCATCAGCCAAGGGCAGTTTTCAATATTAACTTTAGTTGATAACTTACACATTTGAAAGTCTTTTCCATAATAAGTCACTTAATCCCTACGCAGACCCTATAAAAAGGACACTATCATTACTCCCAACCTGCAGCTGGTGGAACCAAGCCCCAGAGAGGCTCAGCAACTCAACCAAGGTCACACAGTACTTCCTTTGATAGGCTGGACCATGGCACTGTGATGTCCTCTTGGGTCTGACTCCTTTACTCCCTTATGCTGTGCACACACCTGCACCCTTCCCACTTCCTCTCATGGCCGCCACTACTTACTCACCTGGAAGCCCTGCCTTTCTCTACCTTTCTGTTCATGCTAATCTGTTATGGGAAGGAGTGTTAGTTAGTCCAGGTCGCCCCAGTCAGCCAAGAAGCATGAGATGTGGCTTTTATTGGAGGAAATGCTAGGGAGGTAAATGAGGAGGGAGCCAGGACACTGAGGGGAAAGGGTGGAAGAAATGGAAAGGAGGGAGGTTGGTGGGCTGCAGGCAGCTCTGGGAGCTCAGCAAGGCTGACAGCAAGTCCTGGAGGCTCCAGAGGAACCCCGGGTAACTGGGTACAGGCCTGGCTTTGAATCCCTGCCTCCCTGGATGAGTAGCTGAGTGGTCCCTGGGCAGCTGGACCAGTGCCCCACTGTGCAGATGCTGCGTGGCCCAGTCAATGGGCCTCCCTCCCAGGGGCTCTGGGAGGCGCCTTTTTATGGTCGCTGCAGGAGGAGCACAACTGCTACCTAAAACAGCAACAAAAGCTGACTATCCCTGCTTCTGCAGGCACAGCCACAGCAGTGCCAGGATCCCTGCTTTCACTAGCAGGAGTGGGACCAGGTGGAGGGAAGGGGGGAGAAGAAGGCGAGACTCAAGCTGAAAAGTTCCTTTTCTTTTGTGCCACTAAAGAGAGGGTGGCAAGTTCAAGTCTCCCTGCAAGTATTGTCAACATACAGAGCGAACCAGCCGCCTCAGGGAGGAAATGGGGAAGGGTAGGATGGTAGAACATGG